GATGCCCCCCCCCACCCACCCGTGAGCCTCTGCCCCGGGGGGTCCTAGCCTGCCCCTAGTGCTGGCCACTGCGTGGGGTGTTCTGACACCCCCATGTCCCCTCTTTTCCTGCCTTCCAAACAGCCGTCGCTAATGAGACAGACCCAGGCAGCTCCTCTGCTCCTTCCCTCACCCCCCGGGGGTCCTGCCGGGGGCTCTGGGACCCCAGAAGTTTTCTCCCTACCCAGCATTGCTTCTTCCCCTTCCTCTGCTCTCCATCCCTACTGGAGACAGTTGCTTAGAAACAGACTCCTTGTTCTCTGATTTTTTAATTTTTTTTTTTTTTGGAATGTGGAGATACGCAGGCCCCCGCCGAGCCCCCCCAGACCCCGCACCGTGGTCCGTGCCGGGTGCTGGCTGCAGCCAGACCCAGGGACGAGACCCAGGAGGTCCCGCTTTCCCCCCTCCCACTGAGCGTCGGTCCCCAAGCTGCAGCAAGCCAGGCAGACACCCACCCCGCACCCATAGCAGCTCCCGAGGTGCGATGTGAGAATTAATTCCTTGGGGTTGTTGGCTCGGGGGTTATTTTCTTCTTCTGATGAAGAGCCCAGGATCGTTGGCAACGCTATCAGCCTATTTTTGCCCTGCTCTCCCTAGCAAGAGAACCAGGAGAAATAGGAAACAGAGAAGCCACAGGATGCACCGCTATAAGAGGAACTTTCCCCAAATAGAAGCTTTTCACAGTTTTTTCACGAGGCGTCAGCAGCTCTTAATACTGTACGAAGCTGTGAATACTGCACGAAGCAGCCGGCCGGTGGGGAGCCTGTAAATGTTTCAGGCTGCAGCTGCAGCCCTCCCATGAGCACAGGGCCGGCCGTGCATGCCCAAAACCTGGCTGGGGCGGCGGGGGGAAGCAGCTGGAGGAGCAGCCTTAGCTGCGATTTCGTATCAGCAGCACTTTCTGCACTGATCAGGGTGGTAAATCCAATGTATCCCAGCTGGAGGGTGCAGAAATCCTGCATGTGTGGACCGACACCTTGAATTTTGCCCTGACCCAGTTTCCAGCTGCAAAAGATCTTTCTGGAGAGCCCCAGATGTTCATTAGCTCTGCGCTGGGGTAAAGGGAGGGATGCTTTGCTTGTGTAATACGTTGCATTTTGCAGGAGTACATGGCTCCTTCTGGGTTTAAATATTTATAAACTGAGTGATGAATCCCTGAAATTCTGCAGCGGTATCGATGGCAGGATGAGTTATCACCCATGGCGTATCAGGTGGCTGTATTTCAGGGCTGGGAGACGGAATCCAGGCGTGTAGCTGGGTCATAATATGCGTATGCAGTGAATTTCCAGAGCACCTCAATCTCCTGGCTCGGAGGTAGACCCTGTTGCTCTGGCAGGACAGGGGATGAAAGGTGCAGAAATGCTCTTTTTGCTTGTTTTAGACCTTTCCCTCTGCTATCAGCTGTTTCCTGGACTCTCCTTCCCAGCCCACTCCCCGCCAGCGCGGTGGCACATCCCGTCGTGCCCTCTCCAGTGGCACAGGGTCCCTTTGCCCCCGCTGTTCCCCCATCGCGGTCGGGTTGGGTTTTGCCATGTTTGCAAAGTGCTGGTTGGAGACTTCTCCTGCCTGCTGGGTCCAAATGGATATTAAGCCCATAAAAACCACTTGTCTGAGCTGCCTTCTCCCTCCCTGGCTGCCCGGCGAAGGAAGGCTGAGCTCTCCCAGTCCTGCTGATGGGGCTGGGGAGCCCACGTGGATGCCTGGGGCAGCTGCCCTGAGCAAGGAGACCCCTTGTAGCATCACCCAGGAAGAAAAGCTGCCGGATTTGGGGTTTTCAGAGCAGCAAAATGGAGGGGTGACCCTAATTGCTCTTCCTGGGTGGATCTGGGGAAGGACCCAGCACCACAGTGGGTCTCTGAAACCCACTCCCACTCCCCGGCAGGAGCCAGGCATCTGCTGGCTTTGCCAAGAGCGAAGCCCGGGCTGGACTCTGCTCCAGCCTGACGCATGCAGGCACCGCTGATCTGGTGACAGGAGGAGGGGAGAGCCCTGCTGCCCTGCCTCCCTCCGGAGCTCACAGGAGAGGAGTGTTGCCCAAAGCAAACATGCCAGCAGGCTGGGTGGTCTGCTGGCCGCCCCGGGAGCCCGGCACGGCTTGGGGTGCACGTGCATGCAGGGAAGGTTCTTAGCCCAAGGGTAAGGTGCTTGGAGCAGGGGAGTGGTACTGGGGGACCCCTTGACCACCCCGGCCGGCCCCTGGGGCCGAGGGGAGGCTGTCACTGTGAAACCCAGCACAAGGCTTCAGTGAAAGGGACAGGTCTGTGCACGCCTGTTGCATATATCTGTGTATCTCCCCCCCGGCTGCTTTGTACGGTGAAGGAGGTGGCATGGGGAGAGCAGACCTGGCAGCGAGATGTAGGGACGGCGGGCAGAGCCGCTTGGTGGATGAGGGACAGCCCTCTCCCCACGCAAGGACGCTTCTTGGCCAGCCCAGGTGGCCGTGCAGGACTTGCCTTCCCAAAGGCTTTCTGTCCCCAGGGTAGCGGGGTGACACCGTGCAGGA